CTGCCATCCATTAAGTTATTCACCATTTCCCATTGTCCCTCTTGCCCTCAGTATGTTCTGTGAGTGTTAAATTCGCCAAGCCTTCTTTCCTTATTTTGTGTACAAGATGTTTCAACTGTCTCTCACTCTGATTATGAGTGTTAGATCTTACACAGAAGCTAGTTGCATTTAAATCAGCACTAGGAGGCTGGTAGCACTGCTGAGTAAAATTGTTTCAATCATGGAGCTGGATTTATGCTTTGCCAATTTCTCCTTTGTTAGTTTTTGTAACAAGTGCCTAGTGAAGCCTTATTATTTCAAAAAAGAAATGGCTGTTGCTAATCCCTTTTCTTGGACTTCATATTTGCTCTTCCACTTGGTAGTAGAGTATAGTTATGGCGACAAAATATAGATTGAAAATGCCTCCAGAGTTTGATGAGGGAAGAACAGATTATGAGATTTGGAAAATGGATTTGGAGTTGTAGAGTGTTGTGAGTGGTATATTGGTCTGCAAACAGATACTGAATGACAGAAGACAACAAAAAACAAAATGAAGACTTGAGAAAAAAATATATTGCCAAGTTTATGTTTGTGAAAGAAAATACATCAATAAAAACAAGGTTACAGTGCACTAGGCACTACCATATAGAAGGATTAATATTAATTAGCATTTCAGCAATCTTTTCATTGTTTCTGCTGCCTCAAGTCTCTTTTTCATCTGTGGTGACACGGTTCTGCATTGACCACCTTATAGGAGGATTGATATTACATAGCAGTTCAACACTCTTTCCATTGTTTCTGTTGCCTCAAGTCTTCTCTTCATCTGTGAGGAAATTGTCCAGCATTCACTGCCATAGAGGAGGATTGATATTACATAGCAGTTCAGTACTCTTTTCATTGTTTCTGTTGCCTCAAGTCCTCTCTTCATCTGTGAGGAAATTGTCCAGCATTCACTGCCATATAGGAGGATTGATATTACATAGCAGTTCAGCACTCTTTCCATTGTTTCTGTTGCCTCAAGTCTTCTCTTCATCTGTGAGGAAATTGTTCAGCATTCACTGCCATATAGCAGGATTGATATTACATATCAGTTCAGTACTCTTTCCATTGTTTCTGTTGCCTCAAGTCTTCTCTTCATCTGTGAGGAAATTGTCCAGCATTCATTGCCATATAGGAGGATTGATATTACATAGCAGTTCAGCACTCTTTTCATTGTTTCTGTGGCCTCAAGTCTTCTCTTCATCTGTGAGGAAATTGTCCAGCATTCACTGCCATATAGGAGGATTGATATTACATATCAGTTCAGTACTCTTTCCATTGTTTCTGTTGTCTCAAGTCTTCTCTTCATCTGTGAGGAAATTGTCCAGCATTCACTGCCATATAGGAGGATTGATATTACATAGCAGTTCAGCACTCTTTCCATTGTTTCTGTTGCCTCAAGTCTTTTCTTCATCTGTGAGGAAATTGTCCAGCATTCACTGCCATAGAGGAGGATTGATATTACATAGCAGTTCAGTACTCTTTTCATTGTTTCTGCTGCCTCAAGTCTCTTTTTCATCTGTGGTGACACGGTTCTGCATTGACCACCTTATAGGAGGATTGATATTACATAGCAGTTCAACACTCTTTCCATTGTTTCTGTTGCCTCAAGTCTTCTCTTCATCTGTGAGGAAATTGTCCAGCATTCACTGCCATAGAGGAGGATTGATATTACATAGCAGTTCAGTACTCTTTTCATTGTTTCTGTTGCCTCAAGTCCTCTCTTCATCTGTGAGGAAATTGTCCAGCATTCACTGCCATATAGGAGGATTGATATTACATAGCAGTTCAGCACTCTTTCCATTGTTTCTGTTGCCTCAAGTCTTCTCTTCATCTGTGAGGAAATTGTTCAGCATTCACTGCCATATAGCAGGATTGATATTACATATCAGTTCAGTACTCTTTCCATTGTTTCTGTTGCCTCAAGTCTTTCTCTTCATCTGTGAGGAAATTGTCCAGCATTCATTGCCATATAGGAGGATTGATATTACATAGCAGTTCAGCACTCTTTTCATTGTTTCTGTGGCCTCAAGTCTTTTCTTCATCTTCATCTGTAGGAGGAAATTGTCCAGCATTCATTGTTTCTGTTGCTCATATAGGAGGATTGATATTACATATCAGTTCAGTACTCTTTCCATTGTTTCTGTTGTCTCAAGTCTTCTCTTCATCTGTGAGGAAATTGTCAGCAGCATTCACTGCCATATAGGAGGATTGATATTACATAGCAGTTCAGCACTCTTTCCATTGTTTCTGTTGCCTCAAGTCTTTTCTTCATCTGTGAGGAAATTGTCCAGCTTTCACTGCCATATAGGAGGATTGATATTACATAGCAGTTCAGCACTCTTTTCATTGTTTCTGTTGCCTCAAATCTTTTCTTCATCTGTGAGGAAATTGTCCAGCTTTCACTGCCATATAGGAGGATTGATATTACATAGCAGTTCAGTACTCTTTTCATTGTTTCTGTTGCCTCAAGTCCTCTCTTCATCTGTGAGGAAATTGTCCAGCATTCACTGCCATATAGCAGGATTGATATTACATATCAGTTCAGTACTCTTTCCATTGTTTCTGTTGCCTCAAGTCTTCTCTTCATCTGTGAGGAAATTGTCCAGCTTTCACTGCCATATAGGAGGATTGATATTACATAGCAGTTTAGTACTCTTTCCATTGTTTCTGTTGCCTCAAGTCTTCTCTTCATCTGTGAGGAAATTGTCCAGCATTCATTGCCATATAGGAAGATTGATATTATGTAGCAGTTCAGCACTCTTTTCATTGTTTCTGTTGCCTCAAGTCTTCTCTTCATCTGTAAGGAAATTCTCCAGCATTCACTACCATATAGGAGAATTGATATTACATAGCAGTTCAGCACTCTTTTCATTGTTTCTGTGGCCTCAAGTCTCTTCTTTATCTGTGAGGAAATTGTCCAGCATTTTGATTAATTGATTGATTTGTGGCTTATCAACCCTTTGCAGGTTATTTAAAGCCCAAAAATATTTTTTAGATTGAAAAAAAAGTTCTCACTGGGTGAAAAGAGTATTGTCCTGAAAAGGACAGTTTATCACATATTATTGCTGCTGATGATGATGTTTGGCTGGAGCAGTGGCCAATGGCTAGCTGGAACTACTGTCTTGAGCTTGAACAGATATTACACTTTGATCCTAGGCTTTGTGTCTGTAAATAATTATTTTTGTTGCCTTTTTTTTTTTTTTTAGCGGGGGGGTCTTTTTATATATTGAATCAGTTTTACATAAGTCACTGGTCCTGGAAGGTGAAGTTTCTTCTTCTGGTTGTTTTTTAAAAAATGTGGGAGTGCCGATGCGATACAAAAAGACTGTCTATACAAACTTGCTAAAATGTAAATGGGCTATTGCCATGCATTTGAATTTAACAGAGAACAGCAGAGTCACATTAGTTACACCTGAGTTAACTGTGCATGAGATGAGATCAGATAATGGAATTGAACTGCTGGTCAATAAATTGGATTGTGTATTCCCATAGGATAACAGTTGGTACTGTTTTAACACATATTTATCATTTGAAAATTTAAAACAAGAATCTCATGGAAGTAATGATAGAAACCTCAGTACCTTTGACAGCAAATTACATGCACTCGGAGAGATGGAAATTAAATTGCTAGATGCACCTCCAAAAAAGATATTTTCCCACACACAAACTTAGTTAGCCAGGATTAGTTAACTTAAACATTTAGAATTCGTAACATAATGTGTGGACATAATTTCAGTAAAATATTAAAACTTGCAAATCAGAATTAAAGATCCAACATTTAACCAATCAAATGTTGGTCAAGTCGAGCCTATCTCTACCTATATAAGCAGAGAAGAATTAGCATTTAGACAGATAGCAGTATAGCAACAGGGGAGATGCAACTATATCGACAAACCAGGAATGACACATTTGCATGACATAATGATGATGTAAAATTCCACTCTACTCGTGGATGAGGAATTTGACATGAGAACTAATGCTCTGCTGATAGAGAATTGAATTTATTTTTAAGTATGAGCTTTGCGTATTAAAATCAAATATGCTCCTGAAAAGCTTACACATGTGATTTATGACCAATGATTGCTGTTCTCAAAATGAACTAATTGCTCTGACAAAGAATCATTTTTTTTCTTTTTAGCAATGTTCTGCCTAATAAATACTTTTTATTGTTTGTTCTATAAATCCATGTTTGGGTTTATTCGTGTTTTTGTAGTTAGAGATATTGTTGCCTTAAGGCCAATGAAACAAATCGTAGCTTCACACCATCTACTCTTGGATACAGATTGTTAAAAAGCTGCAATTTAACTGTAATTCACTTAAATTAGTTCTATCCACCACACAACAAATGACTTTTAACAATATAAGACACACTTTTAGAAATTATCTACTGAAAGTGGTGGAGCATTGCCTACTTCTGGTAGTGAACATATGATTAACCCGATAAAGGAGGAGCCAGTTATCCATGGTGATGCATTTTTGTTGTAGCATACCTATGGATGATAATGGGTATGTCCCCATTTACATGAATACAGTAGTAAATACTGTATGTTGGTCTGCAGTTGAAGATTCATTGTGGAATTCACTTGACTACTTCTTCTACATGCTGCTGGCGAATCTTATATGTGTTGTTCTTGTCCTAAGTATTATTGTTCATTACTAACCTCCTGTGATTATTCTATTCAGTAACCTTACAACAATTTTACAACAGTTGTAGAGGTGGCCATTACAGAACATGTGGAGATTGGAAACCTCATCGAAAGAGATGTGGAGGAAAAAAACCTTGGGTTGCAAACTGAGCTTTTAGAACAGGCTTTTCATCTTTAATTTTTTCAGTTATGATTCAATGAACAATTATCATTTCCTGATTGGTATTGTCAACTTCATAAACTGGATTTTCATGCCAGCTTTTAATTTCATTTTCTTTTGCTATTGTCACAGTATTATTATTAAAAAGCTCCAGCATTTCAACTTCATCATTTATGACTTCCCACTCACTAAAATACTTTTTTAAGTCAACATATCTCATACTGCCATCAATATCTTTCTGGTAATTATAACATATTTGGATTATATGAATTTTGTATCTGCTGATACAATAAATATGTCTATTATTCTGATTTACCTTAAGACTTCCTAGCTGTTCACATTATGATAATGTTGGAATCTATCTACCCAGGTCTTTGTTTTTATCTGAGTGTCGGGATTTCAAATATTAATAACAACAACATCAATATATGTTTTAAATGAAACATAAAAAAGGTTATTTTCTGAAGGAAAATTAGTAGCAGAACATCAATTGAAATAACATTTATATATTCTTTTCAGAAATATAAAATAATAAAATGTTTAATTTCCATTGCAGTGAAGTTTGTTTTATCAAGTAAATCAACTGTTTGTAGGGTGGTGTGAGATGTGTGGACAGACTTACTGGACAGACTTACTTTATGACAGTCAGCCTAATGTTTCTGTCAATGTGTGGACAAGTTTGTTTTATCAAGTAATTAACTGTTCGAAGTGCTGAGTGAGATGTGTGGACAGACTTACTTTATGACAGTCAGCCTAATATTTCTGTCAGTGTGTGGACAAAACCTTAGTCAGTATCTGCTGGCTCATCTCTTATTGTGTGTGTGGGGGGTGTAAGCATGTGTAGATCAAACTGGCCTTTGAAATTGTTTTGAAGCTTGAAAACCAGTATGCTTCTGTTTTTATATTCGGGAGGGAGATCCAAAAGATAATTTCTCATAGAGAGGTGTGAAGTTTTTAAAATATATGGTTTTCATTAGTTAGGAAATAATTTCACATTGGTGTGTGAAAATATTTTTCTTGAATTTGTGGGAGGGATCAAAGGATTTATAATTGTTATTTTGTAAATAGTCCGGAATTAACACATGGTAAGTGTACAACTATGTCCACAAGTATTTTGGCAGTATTTACTCGAGTAAATATTGTTTATCCAACAAAACTTCTGATGGGATTTTATTGGTTGAAAAATATATAGGATTTAATTCCTATAATGATATCTATGACCAGACATTATGGATAAGTCTGAGAAAAGAATAAGAATAAGAATAATCCAAACATATATCAGACATAAGATTTATTCTATTGAGAAACAATGTACAACATACAAAACATCTTTTGTGAATGTTTTTATATTATAGGAAAATGAAAGATTCTGCTTTTGAAAAGGCCTGATAAGTGGTATCCGAAGTGAAACAGATTAATCAACGTTTAAACTTTGTGTCTGGAAAAAAAAGAATGGTTATTCCCTTGACACAACTATTACTGTATACACATTCAACTCCTTAGGCAATGTTTATTTACAAGATTATAAAAAATATGTTAACCAAGTCATTTTCATCATTATGCCTCTAAATTCCTTGGGGAATATAAGGCCGCAATAACACCTCTCCAATGGATGTTGTTTCCAGGTGATTCTCTTCAGCACAGCCCATGTTGTACTGGCTGCCTTCACCTCTGTGTCAACACTTAATTTGTCATATCTGGGCTGAAGCTATCCAGTCCTCACTTGTTTGGCTTCATTATGCCTCTAAATTCCTTGGGGAACATAGGGCTGCAACAACACTTCCCCAATGAATACGTTTCCGGGCGACCTTCTTCAGCTTGGCCCATGTTGTGTCAGCTGTCTTCCTGGGGAATTTTTACCAGCACGCATCATATGCTTCACTTTGGTAGACTCTTCTTTGGCCATGCCATTGTTTGAAGATATCATTAAGGTTTCTGTAACAAGATAGCTTTTAAGTGGGCAGGTTGTTAGCCTACTACACAACCCCCAACCTGGAGGATGTGTCTTTCATCTGGCCCCTACCCAACAGATCTGTTGAACTTGGTTGGACCTGCTAAGCCCCTACCTACATAGCTCTGGGGGTTATTGATGCATGCAAGCCGTCCTGCCACATCAAGGCAACACACCATCAGGATGGATGTTGACCAAATACAACACAATATTTATTTGTCTATATTTCTGAGATGAGGTATTGTAACTATTTACAATATTTACATTGTTCAGACTGTTGTCCTCATCTTTATTAACATATTCACAATTTTTTGGTCACTGTAGACTCTACTGGACACATGGCCCAATGGATAAATGCTATTGGATGATTGATTCAAAAGTGACTTGACCCAAAGAGTTGTGAGTTCAATACCTGACCACAGCAGAGGGAACTTGGAGAGTTATCAAGGAGAATTAACTGAAACTGAGATATTTAAGGGCATGGCATGTGGAATTAGAACAATCTGTCTCCATGGACTAAATAAAGGGTTTGATTTGAAATCCTAAGAAAAAATCACATGAAGAAGGCCAGAGTATACAATGATTGAAAAGTTGTGATTATTGCAATGAAGATGAGGACAACAGTCTGAACAGTATAAATAGCAATATTTATTATTTACCTGTTATAAAGATTTATTATTTACCATTTTATAAATAAAGAAATCTGAAAAGAAATCTTTTTAATAAAAAATTTTTAAAAAATAATCAAAATATGTTAATCAACTACAATGCATTATTTATTATTTACTATTTTATAAATAATTATGAAAACAAGTTTTTTATTCAATCTAAGAAATAAATAGTGTTTAATTTATTTGTTGCCAATTTTCAAGAATAAAGAAAATATACAAATCCATTTTTGTATGTTTTGTTTTTATTAAAATTTCAATAGTCACTTTTTACAACAGATGTAACCCTTTTCATTGTTTCTGTTGCCCCAAGTCTTCACTTCACCTGTGAGGAGATTGTCCAGTATTCACTGCCATATAGGAGGATTGATATTACATAGCAGTTCAGCATTATTTTCATTGTTCCTGTTGCCTCAAGTTTTCTCTTTATCTGTGAGGAAATTGTCCAGCATTCACTGCCATATAGGAGGATTTATATTACATAGCAGTTCAGCATTATTTTCATTGTTTCTGTTGCCTCAAGTCTTCTCTTAATCTGTGAGGAAATTGTCCAGCATTCACTGCCATATAGGAGGATTGATATTACATAGCAGTTAAGTACTCTTTTCATTGTTTCTGTTGCCCCAAGTCTTCACTTCACCTGTGAGGAGATTGTCCAGTATTCACTGCCATATAGGAGGATTGATATTACATAGCAGTTCAGCATTATTTTCATTGTTTCTGTTGCCTCAAGTCCTCTCTTCATCTGTGAGGAAATTGTCCAGCATTCACTGCCATATAGGAGGATTGATATTACATAGCAGTTCAGCACTCTTTTCATTGTTTCTGTTGTCTCAAGTCTTCTCTTCATCTGTGAGGAAATTGTCCAGCATTCACTGCCATATAGGAGGATTGATATTACATAGCAGTTAAGTACTCTTTTCATTGTTTCTGTTGCCCCAAGTCTTCACTTCACCTGTGAGGAGATTGTCCAGTATTCACTGCCATATAGGAGGATTGATATTACATAGCAGTTCAGCATTATTTTCATTGTTTCTGTTGCCTCAAGTCCTCTCTTCATCTGTGAGGAAATTGTCCAGCATTCACTGCCATATAGGAGGATTGATATTACATAGCAGTTCAGCACTCTTTTCATTGTTTCTGTTGCCTCAAGTCCTCTCTTCATCTGTGAGGAAATTGTCCAGCATTCACTGCCATATAGGAGGATTGTTATTACATAGCAGTTCAGCAATCTTTTCATTGTTTCTGTTGCCTCAAGTTTTCTCTTCATCTGTGGGGAAATTTTTTAGTATTAACTACCATATTGGATGACTGATATCATATAACAGTTTAGTACTCTTTTCTTTGTTTCTAATGAAATTTTCTTGTACCAAATAGATAAATTACTTAAAAGCATGTATATGTTTTCATATGCTTATAATTTCTAAAAAAAATCCGATATTCCTTCAGAACTCTTTCGTTTTCTGCCAACTCTTACAACACTATACTGAAAATTGAACTTCTGTGTCTGCTTGATTTTTATATCAATCTCATATCTATATATCTTGATTTATTCAAGTCTATGTTCATATATATTTTAGTCCATTTGTATCTCTCTCTTTTTCACTAATAATATCTATGTGCCCATCTTAGTTTGTTTATCGTCTTCATATACCTATTTCATATATATCAAGGTATTTCAGTCTGTTCATATCTATCTGGCTCAGTCTGTGCATATCTATCTATCTATCTATCTCAGTCTATTCATATTTGTGTCTCAATCTGTTTATCTTAGTTTGTTCATATCTATCTATCTATCTATATATATATATATATATCAGTTTAGTCATATATAACTTTCTATCTATCAATCTATTTATCTCAGTCTGTGCATATCTATCTATCTATCTATCTATCTATCTATCTATCTATCTATCTATCTATCTATCTATCTATCTATCTATCTCAGTCTGTTCATATCTATTTATCCCTGTTCATATCTATCTATTTCTGCCTGGTCATATCAGTCTATCTCTGTTCATATCTATCTATCTATCTATCTATCTATCTATCTATCTATCTATCTATGTAAGCAAATATATGGATATAGATCCGACAGTATGAAGAAAAATATACGGAAAAACAAACAAAAATCCTAATATATTTTTTTTCATATCTATCTATCTCAGTCTGTTCATATCTATCTATCTATCTATCTATCTATCTATCTATCTATCTATCTGTCTATCTATCTATCTATGTCAGCCTCTTCATCTCTATCTATCTATTACTGTGTTCATAGATTCTATTCTTGCCTTTGATATTTTTTCTTCAATAAATTTGAATCTGATTCTTTTCTGGGTTTTTGTTCCTTAAATGACAAAGTTTTAGAGAAAATGGAAACAAAAAAGGACACTTATACTTAACATCAGAAATAGACAGTTGAAATTTCTAGGACACATAAGGAGGAAAGAGGATTTAGTAAATTTGACACTCACAGGGCATACTGAAGACAAGAGGGAAGCAGCACATAACCATGATGTGTAAAAGGCTGGCAGAATAGGGATTAGGAGAGATCTACAAAGGACAGGAAATTGTGGAGAGCCATGATCATCCATGTCTGGAAGGGACATGGCACATACAAGAAAAAGAAGAAGTAATAGCTTGTGTAGATGTCTGGCAGAACAAAGATTGGTAGAGATAGACTAAGATTTACAAAGGACAGGAAATTGTGGAGAGCCATGATTGTGTACATCCTGAAGAGACACAACACACAGAACAAGAACCACAGTACACACTTTTTTTTTTATTAACCCATTTTTACGTTTCTTTGGCAGTAATGATAATTTCTGATAAAATGGTGATGCAATCCATCATCTGTATATTATTCTTGAATTTTTGGGGGACAGTCTTCCTGATTGTGATAAATCATGTCACCAACATTGTACAACTTGCCACTTCTCTAACCTGTAACCTTTCCCAACTCAAGTACTTTGCTTTATATTCTGTTTGATTTTTTTTAACAATAGCCTCAGCAGACCCCCCCTCCCCTAATAAATATTTACTGGTTTCCCTGAAAACAGCATGAAGTGCTAATCTATTTGGAATAAATTAAGGTCAAATCTTATATACAATCGGGTTTTATTTTAGTATATACTAGCAGCATGGCCTGGCATTGCCTGTGCTTGATTCAAAATTCGTACGACTCACACAGCAATCGCTATCACTTGACTTAAAATATTTTTGCCCTTCCTTGCATTTAAAGGAATGCCCTTTGCAGTGCTGATGTTGCTACATGCCTTACTTCTTGCCTATCTCACACTGCAAATTTTTTCTAAGCTCTATACTAAACATTAAATCTGTTACGAAAAAAGAACTAAACAAAATGAACACAAAATGATTAGCTTTAAAAAAAGGACTCGTAACTCGAAAAACTGAATGAAAAAACAATGTTAACAACAAATACTTTTTCACACCCAACCCAGTTCTGCAGAATCATAATCAACGTTGAGTTTAAGCAAGTGAATGAGCCAATTGGAGTAAAGTGCCATGCAGATTTAAATTTCTCCCACTTGTGACGAATGCAGCTATCAATTTTTTTTGCATGCTAGCATGCGAGTTAACATTTGTGTCAGTCAGCTGTTGGCTCTCATACTGGCCAATAGAATCTTCCTGCCTATTTGTGGCAGCCAGCTATAGGCTCTCACTCTGGCCAGTACAAAATGGCCACAAATTACATGAAAACTGCCATAGAAGCATGAAAAAATCAATTATTTCCACTATCGATGGGAGTTAGGAAATGCAAAATCAGTCTTGGCCTTCCTGCTAACTTGGAGCATGTGCATGTAAATTTTGGTGCAAATCTGTCAAAAATTGCAGTTGTGCATTTGTTACACACACACACACATCCTGCCTTTTATAGATAGAGATTTTTCATGTCTCTTTTCTTTGGTTGATACAGGATTCAATAGCGCTATCTTTATGGACAATGCTAGAAAAATCTTAGACATGTCATTAAGAATTTTTTGTAGTGGAAAATGTTAGTTTCCTTTTATTTAGATTAAAATCATGGTATGTCTAATTTAAGGGAAAAGTACAAATGGAAACCCAACAAGGAAGGAGTAGGTGCAAGCATGTGTTTGGAATGGTTTATAGCATCTGCTAAATCATTAATGTACAACCTAACATTTCTCCAATGTGTAGTAATTACCAGTTAGAGTTCTTTTTTGAAAATTATATTTATGTTTCCTTGAAATATGAGGTAATCCTTTTGTGATAAAATCAGATTATATTCTGTGTCTATTTTTTAGTACCTTTTGCATGTAATGGGATGCTTGGAAAGAGAGAGGAAATTACTTGATTTTCTCCACTTTCCAATGTCTACTGTGTCATCTGTCATGGTCAGTCATGGTTTACCTCTGTCATGAGCTAAGTAGCAACTGACTATTGTCACCAACAGGTTGTCTTGTGATCCTCAATAGCCCCTTAAGACATCAGAAATTCATCCTGTCAAAAGGTAATAGTCGCCTTCTACATCCTTACACATATATCTCTTCTTTGCACAATGTTTGGAAAATGTTAGAAATGCTATTGTGGCATCCTCAGCTCTTTATTACTTGTGCCAGCATACTTTTCAGGAAGTGTTGGTGGAAAAATAATAATTTCACTTGATCTTAAAAATTATGGTTGAATGTGAAAAGCACAATTGAAATTTGAGGTTTAATCTTTGGAAACATGCAGCAGAAGTAAGACAATGATTTATTCAAGCTTAGGTTAATAATCCAGTAGGTGCAAGCATGTAAAAGGAATCATTTTTGAAGTTTTAAAAATATTTCAATGTCAAATAAAAAAAATGCTCTGGAAAAATTAAGAATTTTAAATCTGAATAACTGGAGAAGTTTTTAAAGGACAATGTAGTATAAATAAGTTGTAAACTTAGAGAAAATTATAAGTGAATCAGTTTATTATTGCATGTCATTTACAAGAGTTAGGGAATAGTTGGAAGATGGGAAAATGGGTTTCATATTGACTTTTAAAAAGTAACATCAAAAAAGCATTTAGACACTTATCTTTCTCAAAGAGAAAATGTTTTGGATAAGAAAGTTTGTAGGGATGAAGAATAGAATTATTACAAGAGTTCAAAACAAAAGAAACTGCAGAAAGGCGATCAACATCTCAACCTAAACAGAATCTAGTAGGGAAATAGATAGTTATTGGTCCTGAAAAACTGATTCATGATAAGAAAGAAAAAAAATCATGGCTAGATCCAGGACAAAATTCAACGTCTCAACCTAAATAGAATCTACTGTGGAAATAGATGATGAAAAATTGATTTGTGATGAGAATGAAAAAGTGAATGTAATCATGGCTGGATCTGAAACAACTTCAATATCTCAAATTAAACAGAATCTACCAGGAAAATAGACAATGGCAAATTGATTCTGGTGAGAAGGAAAACTGAACAAAATCATGGCTAGATCCAGGACAACCTTCAACATCTCAACCTAAACAGAGTCTACTTGGGAAATACATGATGAAAGATAATGTCAGAATGAAAAAGCTGAACAAAATCATGGCTAGATCCAGGACAACCTTCAATGTTTCAAACTAAACAGAATCTACTAGGGAAATAGATGGTGAAAAATTGATTTAGGGTGAGAATGAAAATATGGACAAAATCATGACTAGATCCAGGGCAACATTCAACATATCAACCTAAACAGAATGTACTGGAGAAATAGACAATGAAAAATTGATTTGTGATGTGAATGAAAAAATGATTGTAATCATGGCTGCATCTGAAACAACTTCAATATCTCAACTTAAGCAGAATCTACCGGGGAAATAGACAATGGCAAATTGATTCTGGTGAGAATGAAAACTGAACAAAATCATGGCTAGATCCAGAACAGCAGGCAGTGTCTTGTAATGAGAACAAGGATAGAATGATTTATTCTCCCATTTATGTTCCTCTCATCATAGGCATTGTTATATCCATGATATAACAACACCGTAACTTACAGATGGGATGGAATGAAATGGCTAAAGCAAAAAGAATGACAAACATGCTTTTTTCTTAGAGAGACTTTATATATACTAAGACATACACAAAACTATGTATATATATATAAACACATGTCCCATGTGGAGAACTATATATCACATATATCTATACAGCAAAGCAAAGTGTAAGGAAAAACAAAAAGGAAAGGTTTTACATATAATTTGGAGATACTCCTGACCTAGAGAAGCCATTTTTAGGACTTCAAATTTAAACAGCCCTGATTCATCTTTATCCCAAAGGGAAATGGCAGCATGTACTTGTAAGCTGTTGGAGAGGCAGACTTAGCCTAACCCTGGGCTAAAAGGAAAACAATCTTACTGTTTGATTGCTGTTTACGAAATGGAAAATGAATGCCGCTTCTGGTCATTGTATGGAGCAACATCATGAAGCAGCTGTCACGTGGCGACATAACTTATTCCCACCAAAGGGAGATAAGTGCCGTCTGTATCCCTACAGTCTAAACCTAAACAGAATCAACTAGGGAAATAGACAATGAAAAATTGATTTATGATGAGAATGAAAAAAATGAATGATATCATGGCTAGATCTGGGACAACCCTCAATATTTCAACTTAAACAGAATCTACTGGCGAAATAGATGATGAAAAATTGATTTATGATGAGAAGCCAAATGTTATATTCCGTGCTAATTGGAATATATACTTGACTAACACGGTGGATAAAATAAGTAAAGGGTTATTGTAACAAACCAGTACAATAAGAATAAAGGTAACAGTTATGCACAAGGTCATCACAAGTCAATCCAGTAGTGAGTGCTACTATTAGAAGGTTGGTAGTTCTTGCGTAAGTCTGAGTCACACCAGCTAGTCTCTGTAGTACGTTGACTTACAGATAATTATAGGTAGTTACTACCTATAGTGTAGTCACTCATGGAGGTGACAGGTTATTCCATTACATCACCAAAAATGAAAGAAGTCATGGCTAGATCCAGGACAACATTCAACATTTCAGTTGAAATGGATTATAACTTTTACTAACTAGTATCTTTTTTTCTGAAGGTAAATTTACATTTGCTGGTCTGTGTATATTTTTCTTCAAGTTAAAGTAACTTTGGCTAACTTATGACCTTTTTCTAAAGTTACAGTAACTTTGGCTAACCTTTTTTTTTATTTATCTTTTGATAATCTTCAGAGCAAATCTGTCTGTTGGAAATTAAATATGTCTTTCATCATTTTTATCTGATGATTCATAAATCAATGTGTCAAGAATAATTTGTTTTCTTGACCATTTTTGTGTCAAAGATGAAATGCTTCAATGTGAGATTTCCATATCTTTTCACAAATCTCTCTCT